CAAGTGTTATACGTGGTTTTTGCCACCTATTAATGATTAATTTAATGTTTGAATTGTTTGACTGTATAATACGAAATGCTTGGCTGTGACATGAAAATGCTTGGCTGTGAGAGATATTCAGATCGTCTAGTCTTACCGTACTCGCAAATATGAATAACGAATATAAGTTACATAATACAATTACTTTATTAATGTGTAACCTTTAATCAACTGTGAACATGTGAACAATAATATGTAAGTTAAACCATTTCACTTTCGTTTACTCTGTCAGACCAATGTTAAATTTGGCATCCTCGTTTACCTAGTTTTCTCCATTTCCTTTCCTCGGCTCCTTGACTTATTTTCCGACATCATGACGATTGTAAGTTTTCAGATTCTTTTCCACTATCTTCCCACCATCTTTCCACTATCATTTTCTTCACCCTGATCTTACATTCATTCACAACTTATATACCCTTTGAAACGTTAACAAAACGCATCTCATCATTGACTCTGATTGGTTACTTATTACATATAGTTCTAAAGATAGAAATGATGTCATTGTCAGGATAATGCAAGAACAGACAAACGTTGGACCTTCGTCATGCACCTGGCTATAATTGATTACAGGAAAGCTGATTTACATATTTAGATCCAGTCATATCAGGAGCATGTTTATAAACAGAACTGACCTCAGGATGCACCTAATAAATCTTGGGCTGTCAGCATTGTGAAATACTGTTCTCAACATATGCATATTTGTGACACATCTGTACAGTTGTGGCATATTGTACAATTGTGACACATATGCACATTTGTGACATATCTGTACAGTTATGGTATATTGTGCAGTTGTGACACATATGTACAGTTGTCACACATACGTACAGTTGTGGCATATTGTACAGTTGTGACACATATGTATATTTGTAACACATCTGTACAGTTGTGACACATATGTACATTTGTGACACATCTGTACAGTTTTGGCATATTGTACAGTTGTAACACATATGTACATATGTGGCACATATGTACAGTTGTGTCATATATGTACAGCTGTGGCACATATGTACAGTTGTGTCATATATGTACAGCTGTGGCACATATGTACAATTTTGACATATATATATACAACTGTGATACATGTACAGCTGTGGTGCATATATAGCTGAACATTTTGAGTACACTTGATCATGTAAATTAATTTTTTTTCAATTGTTGTTGTTTACTTTGTATCTTGTAACAACAGAAAAATGAATTGTTAAGTTTTATCACAAACTGCTGTGGCTAGAAAGTGTTGTAACTTGAATCTATTGGTACAACTGCTGAAAGTATTTACTTGTGAAAAACTGCTGGTAATCATGTTACAAGCCCTTGTGCCTCCTCCCTCTATTTACCTCATCGCCATAGGTGAAATGGATGGGGGGATGGTCATGTTTAAATTAAGATGGATGGGGGAGAGGCTGCTGATTTTTGAATTTCAATAACTTAATTACATAAAGGTAGGCAATAGTGCAAGTTGATTTTTATGTCACCACCACAAGTGGTGACATATTGTTATGGTCTCCAACTTTTTTGTGGATGGCGTTCAGTAGTTGGTGTGCAGTGTTCTGTGGTTGGCATATGTAACAAATGGCAGGTGGTGACATTTTGCATGTTGATGTCTCGTTCCAATTTGTCTTCCTTAATTCACTTTACTTCATTCATATAATGAATCTGCATGCAGTATATACAGTCAATCCAAGTGTTCACATTACAAAATGTTCAATTGGGATAGGTATGGTCATGGTAACTAACAGCATTGCTGGTACATCATCAGTCAAGCAATGGTGCCAATTTTAAGCTTGATCTGCCGTTTTGGTCACAATTGTAATTCAATGGTTAAAATGTACATCACAACACTGAAATTGTTTGATGGTATGTGCATGACTATTATCTGAGGTTTTTATTATGTGATATTATGTTGATGAAAAATATAAGAATCAATTTTGTAGTTTTGATTGATAAAAATAAATATTATGAGGTTTTACTGTTATAAATTATAATCTCTGTCGGTTTATTTACTCCAAAAAATTACACTGGAAAGTAACGTGAGAAACCATTGCTTCAAAATTATTTTACCATTCTCCATTCATTTATAAGCACCAGTTTCTAGAAGAGGGTGATACCCCAGAATTCATAAATTAACCCATCTAAATACAAAGCTGAACCTATAAAGCTTCATCTCTACTTAGAGATAGGTTCATCTATTTATCCTTGGGTATTTCTTTTCTTGGAAGGGTGCAGTGATTTCATTGAATTGAAGTGACATCTATACAATCATGGTAACATTGCATTGTTTGGTCTGTGACCCCCAACCATCTTAAAAGTAGGCCTTGCATTGGCCTATTAAGGTCCCTTGATTCAGAAACAAGATCTCTTGAAAGATTGGACCTTGACTTTTTTTAAGTACACACAAATTGTACACACAATCTGTAGTGCATGGACTAGATCTCTTGCATGCTTTCCATGCTGCATCTTTACCTCCGCAATTCACCACGCTTAAGAAAATAAACAACTATTTTATTATACTTTTTCAACATATTGTATTTAATATTTACATTCTCTGCATTTAAATGTTTTAACAATTCATGCTAAGCTAAAATATCTACAATGTAATCTATAATTTGCTTCATAATTGTACGACTCCTAATAGTAACTATGCATTGTCTGGTGCGATCTGAGACTTTTTGGGTTTATTTCCCAAAATATTTAGGATATAATTGTTTTTTGAAACATAAAATAAAAAATGCTTGCGATGAGAACCATTATTTTATTCCCCTATATAAATAAGATTTACTCATGTTTTTTAATGCTTCATTTCAGGAAATAATAATACAAATAAAAATAAGGCGATTTAAATGATAATTTCTAATTTCAATATTCAGTAGTATGTTTGTACATGTGCATCTTTTCTGCAACTACTTATACAAAAAATGGCACTAAATTATGTAAATTCACTAAATCATGTAAAATTTAATAAAAATGGTATACATGTATTCCTGGCATGTATTCCATTGCACACTTTTTCAATACTTTAAAAGTCCCCAGCCAATATACATGTACAGTACTTATATATCCAATTGCCCTGGTAACGATCACAACACCTTATTTCCATACTTGATTTTCTTGTAGAAACTAGAAATATACAATTAAATACTAATTTTGAACAAAGATGACAGGAAAAACCAGTATGCAATGAAAAATCTATCTCTGTGTAAAGATGAACCTCTCGGCTCAACTCTACATGTAGACAGGTTCTTTGAATTCTGGGTTATTTGCCCTCTTTTTGTACACAAACTATACACACTGGAATTCAATTCCTAAGATCATGTATTTGATTATAGCATGGAACTGCTATTAATATGCATTCATTTATCATAGATTGTCTCAATTTTGGAGATGAATTAACACTGAACTCTACATATTTTCTAAGAACTTCTAAACAGTCAAGTCAGGCTCAACTCTACATGGAGAGATTCTTTGAATGCTGGGTTAATTCCCCCTCTTTCTGAACATAAACTATGCAAATATGCATTCGTTTGTCATAGTTTGTCTCATTTGGAAATGATTTTGTCTCATTTTCTAAATAATAACATCTTAACAGTCAAGCCAGATTTCAACTGGTAAGGCATCCATTTTGATTATTTAGCTACCAGATGTTTACTTTTCTCTATTAACACATATTCCCTTTTCCTATTTGCCTTTGTCATTTAATACTGCAAAATAATTGAATTTCAAAAAATATAAACAGTTTGGATACATGTACATAATAATAACTACAACTTTAGATGCCCATTTAATGATTTCATAAATGTAAGTTTAAGAAAACTTTCAATATATCAATATCATGCAATGTCAATATGCTTTAAATTAATAAATATAAAAATAAAAAACGTCATATTTTCATGTTCAGTAAACATATACATTAATGAATGTGTATTTTATACATAATTACAGTGTCTACTTATATATAGGCCCACATATAATGGAGACAGACACCATTTAACATCGTGTAAGATCATGTACATGGTTAAGCATGAGGCAGGGGAGGCTTGCCCTGTCAAAATTCCACAGAAATGCATTAATTCTGATGTAAATCTAAAACTATTTCAACTTGCCTAATCCATTTACACCTTCCTCTCTTATACAGATTTTAGAGATAAAAAAAAAATGTTTCTGGTGAAAAACATGCTTAATGACATGAGTGTCTAAATTATTTATATCGATAAAATGTTTGTGTATGGTATAAAAAGTATTTTATAATAATAAACGTTCTGATTAATCTCAGTAATAGGGAGGCAAGTACTGCAAAATCCATCTCATAATATGTAGATACATGTACCTCATTACCACTTTTACAGACAATGATTAGGTGCAATTATAAAATCTTGACTAGCATTCCAGTATTTTTCATATTCCACATATTCCATAGCAAGGCATTATGTACAACTGAGTAAGCATATGTTGAATGAGACAGTCCAACAGACCAAACTTATAATAGAGAAGGACTGCATCTTTAAGTAAGGTAGGCAGCATAGAATGAGTGACACTATTATGTGCAAAGATATCCAACTAGGTCCACCTTAATGCTGTAGGCTGAGTACAATAAGTACATTATAAATGTGAAGTTTATTTACAATTCTTCAATTAATGAATTCATGAGTCTATTGCCACATTTTGATATCAATGGCAACAAGAATGGGCCCATGAATTTTTGAGTTAAAAATATGTATAGAAATGGTCCCCAGGTTTAACCAATATGACATAAAATCATTAGCCCCTTGCCCTTAAAATTGGATATAGGCAGAATTACACTTAGAGTAAACATAAATAAGTTAAGTGGCAAAAGCCAGAAAAGTGTGAATAAGTTTAGATTAAGCAGTTCTTGCATAGATGTCAACATTAGACATCTATATTCATGTATATACTTTCTTATTTTCCGGCTTATTCTTCCCAGGACTTGCGTAGTTTCAGAGCTTCAATGGAAGAGGCTATGGCAAATATAGCAAAGATTGATCTCCTGAAGTGAATAGAAGCAAAGGGGAACTGTACCCACTTGAGATTTTCAAAACAGGTTTGCACCCAACTGAGAATCTATTTGTTCAAGTTCCAGTGAAAATGAGAAAAATATGAAAAAACATAATTGTTGACCAACTTTGGTCAGAAATGTGAATACATGTATATATGAGAACTTTGCACCAACTTGAGACAAAAATCCTGGGGTATTGCAGTGTTCTATATGAATTCTTAATTTTGTAAGGATCATTAGAAGTTTTAAGATTTTCAGATTTGAAGTAAGCTTAAAAGAACAGAAGCTTTGTATCTAAGATTTAAATTACATGTAAATATAAATGATTCCCACAGTTTTAAATTTTAAAGTCACATGTTACAATGGCTCATGTGGTGATGAAACTTCCCATTTAGAGGATCATGGGATATAACCTCTAAGTATCACGGGATAATCCTCTTGTGATTGGCTCACACTGGATGAAGCCTCATGGGTATGTAAGGTCATATGATAAGATGCCTCACGTGGGAAGGTATCTCCAGTGACAAGAATTATGGGATATAATATAACCTGTGGTATTACAATGGATAATGCCTCTTGTGATTAGGTCGCATTGAATGAACCATTATCATGTGATGGGGTCACGTGGGAAGGTATCTCCAGTGGAGAGGGTCATAGAAATAAGCTCTAGTGATTAAACATTGGTCTCTTCCATACCAAGAGCATTTAGATCAGTCAAATAAACATCATCGGAACATTGTGACGGCACTTTAATCTTACAACCATATTCGTCCTCTGGAGTATTCAATGTTGAATCAACCTGCCAATTGTCGGGAGAACTAGCATTCCTGGTTAGTTTATCATGATGTTTGTTGTTTATGTCTGCAAAAATCATGTTATTATCCGTTAAATGAGGAATATTAGGCTCTTCTTTGGTTCTATGTAAAGTTTGTTCTCTATCCAAGTCTATTATATGGGAGTCAGATTCAGATAGTTTTACAGTAGGGGGGTGTAGGGGTGAGGATGAAGGGGTAGTCCCAGGCTGGGGCTGATCATTCATGCCATTATGATATTCTAGTTCCATATCAGGTTTAAGTGCGGGGATATGTGCATTTCCTGACACACCCTGGGGGAAGTAGCCTCCGTGTGGGTAGCCCCTGCCCCCATGGGAATAATGACCCTCGACGGGACTATAAAGTACCTGGTAGTCACCTGAATCCGGAGAATGACGTGTATAGGTAGGTTCATTCTGGAAAGAAGAATCTGCGTCTTCTTCGAAAGTTAATTTATAATTATCAGTAGAATTAGATCTGGCAATTTTTTGGCTAAGATCGGAATATGTTGGTGTTTCGTCATTCTCTAATCCAGAATCGATTTCTCCATTACCATTTAAGTTCTTTTGGGACTTAATTGGTGATGGGGATACTGTTCCATTTGGTAAAGGGTGTCTATGAAGGGCTATGTGGTCTCCAGTGGGGTTGTGGCCTCCAGGGGCTGTATTTGGCTCAACAGAGGCCCTAGTGGTCACCTGGTTCTTATAAGGCGTGGACTGAGCCAGGGGTGGGGTGCCCTCCAGGGTAAACCCTCTTCTAGTAGGGCTATAATCCCTTGGGGCATAGAAATTATCAGAGTCTGCTGCCCCTGAGGACTCTTCCTTGGGTTTTACATAGTAACAGTAGCCCTCAGGTTTTGCCTGCCTCAGAGGGCTCTGTTGTATGGGGTCCATTTTATTCTGCCCATTCAATAACTTCTGATATCCACTTTTAAAACTTCCACGCAAACTATGAGAATCCAAACTTGATGTATCAGATAACAGCGACAGGGTTTCAGGCGTCGCTAAAGGGGCATTGTCATTCTGCCAATCATCACCAGGTGGGAGGAGCTCAAGTTTGATGTCAGAATGAGGACGAGTGGATTTCCGTGTACGCATATCGGCAATATCAGCCTCAAGTGGTGATGTATAATCCCAACTGAGACTATTATTTCCTTCGCTATAGGCGCCGCTTGATCTATTACCCCTAGAGTGATCAAGGCCCCTGGGGGACAGATAGTCAGGCTCTAGAAACACTGGTTGGATGCTCTCCCGTTCTAGCGTGGATTCTGGGGTGTCAGATGTCAGGAGAGCTTTACGTTCTGCCTCAGTGAGTTTGCGAGTTGGCTTTGCTGGACCCACTGTAATCAGCACCTGAAAATGTAATTTATTTGTAAAATAAAGCAGAATGGATTAAAATGTGATAACATCACTCAGGAATTCTCATTATACATGATTAATTGAAGTTAAAAGTTATCAACCTAACATATTTATAAAAATGATATATAAATATAACTCAAAGCCTGGGTACTGGACACTAAACCTTGGTATATTTATATCTGTGATGCACCTCCCCCACCAACACCCCCTCTTCGATATTTTCTTAGACAAAACTTAATCCTGATATGTTTGATAATTCCTTGACCTTACCTTGCTCTTAATATTCGTAATATTATGCTTTAACATGTACGGGTATAAACATCAGAAATTATGTCACCTGTTAAACCTTTTATATGTACTGTATTTTATTATATTATTAAGGAATAAATTGAAATTGAATTGAATTGAATTGAAATTGACATATGACCACTGACCAGTCATGGCTAATAATACAATTTGTTATATGTATTTGTTGTGTAGATGGTATCAAATCCAGAAGGATATGGTTTATATTTATCTGTGGATATCAATACTTGAAAAACTGAACTAAGTAATACTCAAATATCACTACATTTTGAGATATTTATTACATTTATTCAACATTTTTCAAAAAAATTAAGAGCAAATAAGTTTAATAACAATTAATAAGTTGGCCTGGGGGAAAATTTAATTACAAAGGCTAAAGCAGCCATTACGGGACATATAAATAACAACAGGCAAGTTACCTTTTCCAAAGCATCCATGACATTATCAGGCATATGGTCATTGATCATAGTGGGGGATATGAGGACTTCATCAAGGTCACTGTTCTCAACCCAAAGGGCTTGGTAGACAGGGTCAGGTTCACTACACCTAGAACAGTGAATATATGTACATGTACAGTTAAACCTGTAAAGTGAAACAACTCCATAAGTGGAACACTTTTCAAAGTCCCACAGCCTACTGACTTATTAAAATGTAACAGCAACAAGTTCAATATCAGTATCATCCAGACTGCTAAGAACTGGCTAGGATGAGTTTTTCATTGATTCATTGTTTTACATTTTCCCATCAAAAATATATTTTCTGTCTCTATCCATAGTCAGTCAAGTTATTTTTGATTTTCTTCAGCATAGAAAAGTAAGATCCCTTTAGAAATTTATAAGAATTAGTTACCCTGTCTTTTTTGGGTGGTTCCTGACTATGTGTATAATCCTCCCAGGTGGGAACAACGGGGTGTGTGTCGTCAGGGCAATCTGGGAATCACTGGGGTGGAGGCTGAATTCAGCCATGCGTTTCTCCTTCTCTTTCTGGTATTCACACATCTGAAGTATACTAGGCTCTGGGTCAGGTCCACAGCATAGCATTGTTCCAAATATAGTCTTCCACTGAAATATTAACAATTGAAGTGTAAAGTGTTGCTATGAAGTGTAAAATATTGCTCTGAAGTGTAAATTCAATATCAAACTGTAAAGTATCGCTATGTAGTATAAAGTATTACACTGAAGTCTAAAGCATTACTTTGAAGTGTAAAATTTTGCTCTAAAGTGTAAAATTTTGCTCTAAAGTGTAAAATTCTGCTCTAAAGTGTAAATTCAATATCAAACTATAAAGTATAATGCTCTTAAGTGTAAATTCAATATCAAACTGTAAAGTATAATGCTCTTAAGTGTAAATTCAATATCAAACTGTAAAGTATAATGCTCTTAAGTGTAAATTCAATATCAAACTGTTAAGTATAATGCTCTTAAGTGTAAATTCAATATCAAACTGTTAAGTATAATGCTCTTAAGTGTAAATTCAATATTGAACTGTAAAGTTTTGCTCTGAATCTGAAGTATAAAGTAGTACACATTATGTAAAATATTGCTGTGAAGTGTAAATTGAATACTGAAATGTAAAGTATTGGTTTGAAGTGTAAGGTAATGCACTCAAAATTGCTGTCACCATATACTACACGTAGAAGGGTGATAAAAGAATCATTGACACATCATATAATACAAAACAAATGTGGTCCTCCATTGAAAGTGAAAATAGCACTGAAAGTAGTTTTCAGATCAACTGAAACATCATTGAGAGTGATATAATGAACAACTTAGAGGTTCCTTTATAGATCACCACCCTGTTATGACCTTGACCTCACCTTCCTTTAAAGATCTTGACTTCACCACCCTGTAATGACCTTGACCTAACAATCCTTTAATGACCTTGATATCACCATCCTTTAATGACCTTGGCCTCACCATCCGCTTATGACCTTGACCTAACTATCCTGTTATGACCTTACCTTAGGATCATCACTTTTCTTGATAACGCTGATCAGGTCAGTCCTGAGAGCTTCCATCTGGTAAAGACCGATCCTTGGAATGACGTCCTTGGCAACAACAACGCTTGTGATGAATGATTTAGTTTCTTCAACTGTATTAGCACTGAAATAAATACAGACTTGCGTTACAGACTTGCAATAGGGCACATAATTTATTTCAAAAATTCAAGTTTGTTGTGATTTTCCAATGTTAAACTGGGTGAATTAGAGCATTCAATCAGATCCAAGCTTTGTTTGTTCTAAGTTTAGTCAGATTTGCTAGAAGTGTCAAGAAATTAAGCTTGTTTAAATGAGTTGAGGGGTCCATTACTCACGCAAAAGGCTGCCGTGTGTATGTGTATATGTCATATTAATTGGAATATTTCAATGGAATCATTTTATGTTCACATCACATCATCAGAAACTTACCTTAGTAATCCCCCAGGGGGAGAATATGAGTAACAATGTAGATTAGGGTGTTCCTGTTGTAGAAGTATGGCCAATATAGCAGCTGTACCAGCCCCCAATGAGTGGCCTACTAGCACCAAGTCATACTGCTGAGTTCCCCTGTCCTGCAATATGATAAGGTTGTACAGTCATAGACTAACAGCCAATGGTGTACATAAACAAAATGATGCACAGTAAACATGTCAGATTGGAACATTTCTATGTGAGGTAACCTGTCAACATAAACAGTTTTAAGAAGATTTAAATAACATGATAACAAATCCTTTCTGAGAGGTGACAAGTCTACAATGAACAATTTTTGGTCAGTAAATGAGGTGTCCCATACACAGGATTCATTCTACCTACAGGTGCAAATGGTCAGGAAGATATTATAGGTGCATGGATAATAAGCATTAGTAGAGCAACAATTACCGGTACGATTAAAAATTCAAAGAATCATGCATCACTATATTTCTTCGAAAGTAGACCACATATACTGATTGTCATTTGATTATCATACCAAGTAAATATCTCGATTTTCAATAAATACACAAATCCTGCCAGATGAGAAGGTATGTAAATGATGATAACTTGATAATCACTGAAAGTAGGTCAAATGTAGTTTAGTGAAGATAATCTCCACTTACAAGGTCTCTACCAAATGCCTGAGAGAGAATCATTTCCTCCTTTAGTTTTTGTTTAATATACACAGCAGCCTGCACCATGCCCTGCAAAACACAAAGAATATTTTGTTTTTTCAATGAAGTTGATTATCCAAGCTAGTGTAGTATTTATTAAATTCTGACATATCTTTTAACAAAGCTATTTTTATTTCACATTAATTAAACATGAACATTTTAATGAACATTAAAACACATAGTTACAGACACATCTCTCAACCAAGCCTTAATTATAAAATGGAATATTATTATTGAATCATAGAAATGAACATTTACTTTTATGAAATCTACTCTTAATGATTTTTGACCAATGTAATTACAGAATAGTAATAAATATCCTTTTTCATTCCACACTACGCTGCGTCTCAAGACATGATCACTGGTCCTTTGTAATGCATGCACAAAATTTAAAGTCAAACTGTGGAAATTAAGTCCAAAGGTAGCAGTATTAGCCAAAGTTTGCATCTATATTCCCATTTGCCACACCAATTGTTGACCCTAACTAAACCCTTGCTGTTGCACTTGTTCTACAATTACCTACCTTATGACCTAGCCAGTCTTCACGAAGGGGATCTAATGGAAGCGGTTCAGCATCTGCCTTAAGATCTGTGAGGACATCTTGTAGAGAGAGAGTTCCTCTAATACATATCACAACTTTCTGTTCTTCATGGTCCACAGCAACAAAGAATGGAGTCTCCCCAATCTGTAATATATAGGCATTTGCTGGGTCATTTAGATTAAAGGTCTGTGAGGATAATTTACCAGGAGAAAGTTGATGGGAACTTAAACATATACAATATCTAAACACTTGAGACCACTCCGTACATGCATCCATGTAATAGGTTGTATTTTCAATGTCTATAGACTTGAGGAGACCACTCTGTACTTACATCTACATGATAGGTTGCATATACAATGTCTATAGTCTTGAGACCACTCCGTACTTACATCCACATGATAGGTTGCATATACAATGTCTATAGTCTTGAGACCACTCCGTACTTACATCCACATGATAGGTTGCATATACAATGTCTATAGTCTTGAGACCACTCCGTACTTACATCCACATGATAGGTTGCATATACAATGTCTATAGTCTTGAGACCACTCTGTTGTTTTAATGCAGCAAAGTTACACTGGCAGCAGTTGTCTCCTATCACTATACTGTGTTGATGGCCTCTGTTGCTACAGGAAGGAATACAGCAGCAACACCTGAAATACAATAACAAATAAAGTCCCGTAGCTTGGGGGAGGGGGAGGGGAGTTCAGGGGCTTCAAGGGAACCAAAATATCTTCCAATGTTATGCAGTTTTTCACCATTCTGAGCCTTTTTCAATCAATTTTGAGCCAAGGTTGTTAAATGTGACTCCCCTGGAATTTTTGGAAAAGTTGATTTTGTGTGGAGGGCAAAAGTTGGCTATTGGCCTAAGAGCTACAATGCAGTTGAAATCTAAAGGATTATAAGGCAATTACATTACAAAATGTCACCCTCTGGTCACAATTACAAAAAGAGTAACATCTTAATGTATTTTTGGCTATAAACATTTAAACCAGTCACAAATGTTGATCCTGGGTGACCAAATGAGTTTAAAATCACTGATTGCAAAGACACATTTATTAACTTACGCTAACTGTGAGCACAATCCACAAAGTCCTGTTCCAGGATTAGTCATAATGTAAAGAGGCCAGCCGTATGCTGCAAGAGCATACTTCATAAAGTGAACTACTTTCTTAAATTCTGTCAATTCAACAGGATCTTTTAGACAAAGGAAACGGGAGTCAGGGCGAATGGAGACTCCAGATAAGAATTGGTAGACATCATTGGAGGCCTAAAATTGTAATAAGAAACAAAGTTCAAATATGATACATATATTTTTCAAAGACAATTTGAAGGATAAGGTGTTTTATTCCTCATTAAATATTACAAAACTACAACATTTAATATTACGGGTATGTGTAAATAACATCTGCAATATCTGAAAAAATCGTTAATAGTTGCAATAAAACAATAGATGTCATCACTGGCCTTAAGATAATAACAAAAATTCAATATTGGAGCAATATTCTGAAATCACATTGGATCCAATCTCAAATTTATTTCATTGTAACCTAAAACAGACCAGCGAAACAAAACATTAACATGCCGAATTCAGTGTGACCATTTGTTACAGATACAAAAGTTGAGAATCAAAGAGTGGTATTTTGCATGAATGGTGTATAAAATTAAGAAGAATCAAATGTAGTACAAAATGCTTTTTCCCATACCTGTGCAACAACTGTTTTTCGTCGCATTTTCTGATGACGTCTCAGAAGTACTAAGCCAGCTACGACATCTGATGGGACGACATCTAAGTCACGGAAGAATTCAGTGAACAGTTTAGCGATTTCAGTGAAAGAATTCTGAAAAATACAACACCAATAATTCATTTTAATATCGAGGAAGACCTTTTTCAAATTTCATTTAAAGGGGAGACAAAACCATAACCAAAATATTTTCACTTTTTTATAACTGTGCATTAACATGTAAAATGTCCCCATTTGTTACCGACACTGAACATCAACCACTGGACACCAACTGCAAAACACCAAACACCACAGGCCCGTAGCCAGGATTTGCCAAGGGGGGGTTCAATTTTCAAAAATTTCCAGGGGGGTTCACATTTGACAATTTTGGCCCAAATTAGGCTAAAATCACTAGAGAAGTGCTCAAAATGGTCAAAAACTGCATGATTTTGAAAGAATTTTTGGCCAGGGGGGGGGGGGGTTCGCCCGAACCCTGCGAACCCCCCCTGGCTACGGGCCTGCACCATAAACAAAATAGTTGGAGACTATAACAATAAAAAACTGAAATAAATTCAAAAGGAATCAATGAATTTAATCAACAATTTAAGTATGGCTGGCAGTTTATCCACAAAAAGCAAATTAAAACTGAAACCAGATTAGAATATTTGCCATTAGTATTTGCATAAAACACCATTATCAGCATCTGACATATGACAGTATGAATGAATGTCACAATGATATCCAGAGTTTTATATGAGATTATGTTCTGCCTTTGATAACCCCAATTTCTCCCTTGAGGCTTTTACAAAACCATAATGGGAAAGCCATGTTATTTATTCACTATCAAACTATCAAAGCATACGATAATAAAATTGAAGCTTTCGGTAGAATTACTACTGTTATCAGTTATTATCTAGTTATGCAGAAAACCCTTGGTTTATAACCAGAGGCTGACAATAACATATTTTATATAGAGATGAGGCATTAATATGAAAAATGTCAACACCTGCCATTTGTTACAGACGCTGCAAAACACCAACCACAAAAGTTTGAGACTATAACAGAGAGATTGGAGGTGTTAGGGTTGAGTTTTGACATATCTGTTATCAATAATTGTAATTTCACTGTTAATATATTGTCAAGAGAACCCCTTTTAACATCACAACTATTTGATGAGCTAAGGGAGAAGTAAGGCACAAGGGAGTCAGAGTCTATCAAACCAATCAAGCAACCCCACTAATCTTTACATACTTTGTGGCGATCTTTCTGCACGCAACAAAACAGGACGTTGCATCGTCTATTCCAGCTATTCTCATAGGCCCTCATTGCTTTCCTGAAAAGACAAAAACACAGTCACTATATTATGAATAGTAAACTCATGCTACTTGACTTAACTGAACTAAATTACTTATTGATGTTTTGGTACATATATGTCAATAAGTAATTTAACAGAGCTAAGATTGGACCAATAAGTGGTATAGCTGGCAGAAACATGTTAAGATATTACATAATAACATTTTACCTTTAACTATATATGTTAATATATCGACTACAAATTTCTTGAAATATTCTTTTGATTTTAAATTTCGACAATTTCAGAAAAATCAGGAAATATCCATTCAAAAAAGAAAAATGAATATGTGCTTTTGAGGATTTGGAATATATTTCAATAGCTACATAAAAGTTACTTAACCAGCTTAAAGGCCCCATGGAAAGTTCAAACTATTTTGGCTAACAGAGAACAGGAAAATAATATCTGAAAAATATGACAGTTCTCAAACCCTGAAAGCATGAAATTGTATGGTTTCCATTATCAAAAGTTATGAGCATTTCATGGCGATTCACAGATTTATTTGGACCAGAGGGTACATTATTTTAATGTTCTTATTACAGATAAGGGACGTGTTTAAAAAAACATTGTCGGAGGTTTCTACTTTTGCATTTCATGTTGGAAGATTGTACCTACCTCCAACATATTTTTCATATAGTATTTTCAAATCCTTGTTGATTATTAGGAACACATCTATATGCTACTTTTCAAAATGTGTTAATATTGAGACTGTTACTTTTTTATTATCACCATTAACAGTTTTCTGTTAGACCATCCCACTTTAATAAGAGAAAGCTATTAATTTTCATATTAGAAAAAACTTGGTTAATAACATACTGCTCTCCTGGTTTGCTTTCTCACAAAGAAGGATCCACAATAAGGTATATTAGACCAAGACAACTGGTATATATGTATATGTGCTGTGCTCTGACAAATGCAAGTGCTTAATAAATGATTAGAAAATAATTTCAGTAAAAGCACTGAATGTTTGTTGCAAGCTTGTAGTATTTTTCAAACAAACAAATTTAAAACGCTCCTTTTCATCTGTAAAAGTAGCTTAAAAACATGCTTTTGAAGAACATAATAATTTGAAAAGATGAGTATTGTACAATATATGTTTCGCATGTAAAAATATATTTTTAACAAGGCATTAACATGACAAAATGTCACCACCTAAAACAATTTGGTCAATTTAAAGCAAGTTGGAAAATACCTTTTGACCTTAAGAAGGTTTTTGAAGATTTGAGCTTCTGGGATCTTGTAGATGATTTTGAAAAAAGAAATTGTTCAATCTGAAGCAAGTTAAAACAAGTTCGAAAAAGACCTTTTTGACCTTGAAAAGGTCATTGAAGGTCAAATGTCAAATCTAAAGTCAGATTTGAACTTCTGAGAACATGTAGATGATTTTGAAAAAAAAATTAGTCAATTTGAAGCAAGTTGAAAAAAGAACTTTTTGACCTTGAGAAGGTCATTGAAGGTCAAAGGTCAAATCTAAAGTCAGATTTGAACTTCTGAGAACTTGTAAAGTCAAATTTGAACTTCTGAAAAGATGTAGATGATTTTGAAAAAAAAATTGGGTCAATTTGAAGCAAGTTGAAAACAGTCCTTTTTGACCTTTTTTGACCTTGAGAAGGTCATTAAAGGTCAAATGTCAAATCTAAAGTCAGATTTGAATTTCTGAGAACATGTAGATGATTTTGAAAAAAAAAATTAGTCAATTTGAAGCAAGTTGAAAAAAGACCTTTTTGACCTTTTTTGACATTGAGAAGGTCATTGAAGGTCAAATGTCAAATCTAAAGTCATATTTGAATTTCAGAGAACATGTAGATGATTTTGAAAAAAAAATCAGTCAAATTGAAGCAAGATGAAAAAATACCTTTTTGACCTTTTTTGACATTGAGAAGGTCATTGAAGGTCAAATGTCAAATCTAAAGTCAGATTTGAATTTCTGAGAACATGTAGATGATTTTGAAAAAAAAATTTAGTCAATTTGAAGCAAGCTGAAAAAAGACCTTTTTGACCTTTTTTGACTTTGAGAAGGTCATTGAAGGTCAAATGTCAAATCTTAAGTCAAATCTAAAGTCAGATTTGAATTTCTGAGAACACGTAGATGATTTTGAAAAAAAAATTTAGTCAATTTGAAGCAAGTTGAAAACAGACCATTTGACCTTTTTTGACCTTGAGAAGGTCATTGAAGGTCAAATGTCAAATCTTAAGTCAAATCTTAAGTCAGATTTGAATTTCTGAGAACACGTAGGTGATTTTGAAAAAAAAATTTAGTCAATTTGAAGCAAGTTGAAAACGGACCTTTTTGACCTTTTTTGACCTTGAGAAGGTCATTGAAGGTCAAATGTCAAATCTAAAGTCAGATTTGAACTTCTGAGAACATGTAGATGATTTAGAAAAAAATTGAAGTCAATCTTAACAGTATTTGTTAAGTTATAGGAAGTTTAGTGGATGAGCTCGGACCACTTTTTTACTCACACTATTGCATTTTAATAATTATGTTAATTATTTGTAGTTTATCATTTGCCATTGATTTTGAAAATAATAGGGTCTAGTTTTTCAGCCTCTTCGAATAATTGCCATTTATACCCCCCTTGCTACTTTTATGAGGGGGTTATTCGATAAGCATAAATAATTTATGTTATATATCTCCAATCAAATTTATATTTCTAGGGAGTATGTATCTATATATAACAAGTTCCCATGACAAGTTTGATCATGCTTGGTCAAGTGGTTGCCATGGCAACACAACTTAAGTGCGAAAAATTGTAAATATTTTGAATAAATTCACCAGTTCTTTTAAAGGTAAACGACTGCTAATCTCTTTGGATTGCACAAATCAGCATGAAGTTGACTTTAAAAACATATTTAAGGAGTTTTCAATGAAATAACATGATTAAAATGATTAATTGAATGATATATATGACTCTAGTCCATAACTCTATTTGGTCACTATCATTCACATTGCTCAAAAGTGGGCGTGGCACTTTAAAGTAACTATCTTGAGTAATTCATGTTATGTACCTCCAATCACATTCATACGTTCAGTGAGTATGTATGTATATAAAGCTAGTTGATATAGCAAGTCTGATCATGTTTGGTTCAATGGTTGCCATGGAAATGTGCATGCAAACAATTGTAGCTATTTCAGATTAACAAGTAACTGCTAATCTCTTAAACCAATCAAAATAAAGTTGTGTTTGAAACCATTTTTGGTCAATAAAACAACATGATTCAGATGATTAATTGGTAATTGGTTGCTATGGTAATACAAATGAATGGCACTGTTCTTTGTTAATATACTTGTTTGGCTTGTGTGGAGATGGTAGATAGATATATACATAGTTCATTTAGATTAATTTCTGTATTGTCCACTGTTTTTCTTTAAAATACTATTTTAATTTCTACGACATATACATATTTACAACATCATATTATGTCCTTATTTAATTAGCTTAACTACAGGGTGTCCAAAAAGTATGCCCCTGCTATGCAGACATATACCAATGTTGTCCATAGTATGTGTCCTATATCAATTTAAAGCTCGTCCAAAGTTACATTGATTTGTGTCTCCCTAGGCCATGTTAACAGCACCAATGTTTTTCATATATGATGCTTCAAATAGGGATGTGGCATTTTGTAATCCACCTAAAATTTTGTTAAGCTATTTTAGAAGAGTTTCATTGGAGTATCTACCCTCAATGTCCTCTTTTTAGAACTCAATATCCACCCTATCTTCGTCAATAGCACCCATATTAATGGTCACATTCAGGTCAGGGCTGTTTCCAGGATACTGAAATGAACTATATTTTTGGCCAAACGTTAAGTTTTGAAATGCCTGTAACCTTTTACCATTTGTGAGTTGAACCATGATACTTGGCAAATCAATGTAACTTTAGATAAGCTTTAAAATGATATATGCCACATACCATGGAGACATTGTATACGTCTGCCTATGGGGCCCATACTTTCGGGACACACTGTACATATTAGTATGGTGGGGTAAGTTAGTAAGATAGTAAGGTAAACATTGTTCTGTAAATAATGTTTTGGTATCTTGATCCATTTGAAGTTGCAAGACAAATATCTTGTCCAAAAGAATGTACAAGCCGCTGTTGTTTCTCATTTAAAGTCTTGTTCTCATTGCCCCGGAGGAGATTCATTAAATTCCTTAGGAGCATTTGGTATGGATTTGTACATTCTATTTGCAAGTTCTAATGTTCTTGGGGGCCAATTAAATGAGGGGTATTTTGTTTTGGCATTGAATATGATGTGTCTTAGATGCGACCCAGCATTGGTCAATAGATCTTGTTCTGAATTGATATTCTTATGAAAAGCCTCTGCAATAGATTTTTGGGGGATGCTCCTTAAATTGCCAAATACAAGTTCATTTTTCAATGAAGATTCTTTTGGGCAATAGAAATTGAGTTTATTCCCAAAATGAATACTAAGTCCACTTTTGAAGTTATCTAACCTTCTGTACTTTGGTGTAGGTTTGGTTGGATTAGGTTCACTCATATGTGTTTGGAACATATTGCGAAGAGAGTCTAATGTAACAATTACGGGACCACTGGTCAACACCTTTTCATCTATATATTTGCAAACAAATGTGAATGATGAATCAATTACTTTTTCACATCTACATTTGTGTTTTGGCATTTACTGGCCAGGTAATAGTTATGGTAGAATTATGGTACATTGCTTCTACAGAAACTATGCAACGTCTACCGATTTTTGCATACAGGCTCCATTCTTTTTCAATGACTGCATTCAATATAGACTTTGATGCAGTATCAGTTTGAAGTTTAGCTAGAGTTTCTCTTGTAGTTCCCTTTTGATATTTCTTTTATTTATCACAAAACAGGTACAATTGCTATAAAAGGCTGAATGTGTTAAGATCTATCAATATAAGAACACAGAGTAGTTTCTGTTTATTAATCAACCATGAGTTGATATCATTGACTAATAGATGATTTCAGTCATGTTTTCTTAAAACAAACTCCTATAATATGTTTTCAAAGTCAACTTTTTATTGATTGGTACAATCTGGAACTATGTGTAGATTTATCAAATTGTTTTTACTTCTTTATATTAATAAATATAGTAAGTTGTGTTTCCATGGCAATCATTTCACCAAGCATGATCAGACTTGCTATATCAACTAACTTTATATACATACATACTCACTGAAAGTATGAATGTGATTGGAGGTACATAACATGAATTACTCAAGATAGTTACTCAAAAGTGTCACGCCCACTTTTGAGCAATGTGAATGATAGTGACCAAATAGAGTTATGGACTAGAGTCATAGATATCATTCAATGAAACTCTTCTAAAATGGCTTAACAAAATTTTATGGGGATTACAAAATGCCACATCCCTATTTAAAGCGCGTTAAGGGTCATATATGAAAAACATTGCTGCTGTTAACATGGCCTAGGGAGACACAAATCAATGTAACTTTGGATGAGCTTTGAAATGATATAGGACACATACTATGGAGACATTGGTATATGTCTGCATAGCGGGGGCATACTTTTGGGACACCCTGTAGTTAAGCTAATTAAATAAGGACATAATATGATGTTGTAAATATGTACATATCATAGAAATTAAAATAGTATTTTAAAGAAAAACAGTGGAGAATACAGAAATTAATCTAAATTAACTATGTATATATCTATCTACCATCTCCACACAAGCCAAACAAGTATATTTACAAAGAACAATGCCATTCATTTGTGTTACCATAGCAACCAATTACCAATTAATCATCTGAATCATGTTGTTTTATTGACCAAAAATGGTTTCAAACACAACTTTATTTTGATTGGTTTAAGAGATTAGCAGTTACTTGTTAATCTGAAATAGCTACAATTGTTTGCATGCACGTTTCCATGGCAACCATTGAACCAAACATGATCAGACTTGCTATATCAACTAGCTTTATATACTTACATACTCCCTGAAAGTATGAATGTGATTGGAGGTACATAACATGAATTACTCAAGATAGTTACTTAAAAGTGCCACGCCCACTTTTGAGCAATGTGAATGATAGTGACCAAATAGAGTTATGGACTAGAGTCATAGATATCATTCAATTTATCATTTTAATCATGCCATTTCATTGAAAACTCCTTAAATATGTTTTTATAGTCAACTTCATGCTGATTTGTGCAATCCAAAGAGATTAGCAGTCGTTTACCTTTTAAAGAACTGGTGGATTTATTCGAAATATTTACAATTTTTCGCACTTAAGTTGTGTTGTCATGGCAACCACTTGACCAAGCATGATCAAACTTGTCATGGGAACTTGTTATATATAGATACATATTCCCTAGAAATACAAATTTGATTGGAGATATATAACATAAATTATTGATGCTTATCGTATTACCCCCTCATAAAAGTAGCAAGGGGGGTATAAATGGCAATTATTCGAAGAGGCTGAAAAACTAGACCCTATTATTTTCAAAATCAATGGCAAATGATAAACTACAAATAATTAACATAATTATAAAAATGCAATAGTGTGAGTAAAAAAGTGGTCCGAGCTCATCCACTAGTTGTAAGAAATTGTTACAGACGCCAGACGCCGGACGCCAGACGCCGGACGCCAACCGCCGTCGCAAAAAAAACGGAGACCATAACAATATGTCACCACTTTTGGTGGTGACATAATAAAGGTTAAATAAATGACATGTTTATGTGGCATTATAGAGCATGGAACTCACAAACAAGTTCACTTTACTTAAACAAAATGTCTCCTTGACATGATTATACTTGTTCAATCAAAGATTCAAATAAAAAAACAGAAAAGGCATCAACATGCAAAATGTCACCACATGGCATTTGTTACAAACGCCATTAGTTGCAGACACTGACCGCCGAACACCAGATCAAAAAGTGGTGACATAAAAATATTGTGCCTGAGTTCAAATTTTATGAGGTACAAGCCATCCTTAAATACAAGAGCACAATACAAATGCGTGTTTTCTGTATTTGAATTTATTGAATAATTTCTTCTTATTATTATGTATCTAAACATGGTAACTTGTAGATTTTTCACTCCCACCTAACAAATCTCTGTCTAGAAATACATGTACATGTAAAAAATCTAAGTGATAAGGTATGTGTCCCATATCTCATGGGATCTATATATTTCTATATAGTTTAAGTATTACTAAAAAGCAAGCCAGGTGCAAGAATCAGTGTAGATAATGCAATGCAGTTAATGCAATATCATGGTTAATGCAATGCAGTTAATGCAATATCATGGTTAATGCACTCGTAGTAATGCATGCAAAACTTTAGATGGTTAATTTTGTTGGTAAAAGACAGAGTATTAGAGAAAGAACCTTTATGCTCACTCAATAAATAAAAAACATGATCGTGTTGCATTATGGGATGCAATATCAACATGTCTCATTCAACATGATTGTGAAGGTGCATTATGGGATAAAACCAGCGTAAAAAAAATGTGTAGATCTTACCAAAGAACTCCAAAAAGCACACAGCTTAATTGTAACATACACATTGTTTATAGAAGTCTAACAGATAGAGATATGTGTATAACACAATGTCAAAGAGGTTATATTCCCTCCCCCCAAAAAAATACTTGTATTTCGTTACATTTGGCTAATGAGAATAAAATCATTTCAATATTCATGAATACTCAAACATAGTAGGTAAGTGGAAATCAGTCTGATCCAGAGACACAAAGGAACGTAATATTAAAAATCAGCCGCAAGGATGTATAAAGTTATTTGTCACATGCTAAAGATATGAAATTGTAAAACTGGCACCTTACAAGGGTTTTAGAATTCCTTAATTGATGTTTATGTGATGTTACTTTTTAAGACTTTAAAAGTGTAAATATGAACCAAAAAATATTTCATAAACGAGTGTGTGAATAACAAACAGTTTTACAGTGCACACACATAATGACACACAGTTTACAGTGACACACATAATATGACACATATTGTGAGACACACAAATATACATCAAAGCATATGTAATACCATATAGTGCTTCAGAAATACCATATGACTCAGTAGGTATATTCCAGTATAGTACAAAATCTTATGTACTTTTAACCATTCCATATTTTCACAATATCATATGATACTTCTCAGTGTTATAGCTCTGGTACTTAAAATACGATATGATATTTATAAAATCTAATATGTTATCACTTGATATTAATAAAATATCATTTGATATCATGTGGCATTTATAAAATATCATATGGTACTTATAATACATGAAGAGATACCTGACTACTGATTCTACTGAAGCTAGCGTATGATATGATGGGCGCCTGCAACGTAATATGAATTATTAATCCAGACGGAGTACTATCAGGATAATTAAATGAATTTTAACAATGTGGCATCAATTTACATACCTGGTTTCCTCTATATTTTTTATAATTAAATAGCTAGTATTATATGAATCTCATGAAGGGACGTAAAGGGGTAGATGCAGGAGAATGGGGAATAGACACCTAACATTGATAATGTCAACAATGGTGTCATTTAGTTTTCTTTCCGCGACACCACTTTTTAGGTTCTTGAGTTTGTAAATGTTGTCAAACCCAAACGAAGCAATGTGCAAAAGGAAATCATATGAATTATCATGTAAATGGGCTTTTTGGCTTAAACATTTTTCAATTTGAGATGTTTTGCAGTGATGGTTATAACTGATTTTCGAACATCTTTGTTTTTCTGATATTGCCCATTGTCTCGATACTGCCCTTGTTATTGTTGAGCCAGTCTTGACAAGACAGTGAACCTCTCCCCCCTTATCTACTGGTGGGGAGGGGGTGTGCATTTGGAGGGGGGGGGTCTAAGAGGGGCTTGTCACTAGAAAATTGTTGAACAGGACATCATGTGTACTGTAGTATATCATACTAAATAATCAACCATTCTATTGATCCACCCAAGGCTTTCAGGTGCACATAAAATGTTCAATTTGGGATTATCACGGCCTAAATAAACCTTTTGTCTGAACTCCCAGGGTTTTATGAGAAAGTAGCCTAATTAATGGCTCTCTTTTAATCCCAACACTCGCATAAATCAACTTTAGAGAAGAGAAACCTACTCAAAACATTCACAGCACCACACGACCCATGCCACGCCATGATGAACGAAACTAAGTCATTTCTCAATTAATTTGTTCTTTCTTATTCCTTGTTAGAGGCATCTATTCCTCATTGCGCAAAGATAACGCAAGAATTATATCTCTATCTCAGGCACCTAGCTAGCTTTTGCCAAGGGACTGGGGGGGTCACTTCAAAAAATTCCAAAGGGGGTGCATATATGAGACCTTCCGCCTAAAGCCACTTGAACAATACTCAATATGGTGAAAACTGCATGAGTTTGAAAGAATTTTTGGACCTCCAACCCTCACGCCCCAGCTACAGGCCTGCTATCTATTACCTATTTGGGTAGTAGAAAGGGAGGGAGGGTAAGTTGAACTGACAAAGGATTTTCACATTGGGTGATAGCTGTAAGGAAAAGCTTGGTTTTAGTACTTGCCTTACCTCACAAAAGAGCAATTCTATTTAAGGGTAGGGATGGAAAGTGTGATTTATAGTTATGGCTTATAGACATAATTGCAGAAGACAACCAGTCTAAAATATCCAATCTCCTTCACAGTTCCTCTCAAAAAAATTTTCAGTGATCTTCCTCATTTCAAAGGAGTTCTAAATACTTTGAATATCAACTTATTGTTGATTTGTTTTTCTTTGTTTATTCCTCCCTATTTCAATCTAATCCCCGGGAAAATATGTTAGTATTATGAGATATACTAGCGGGCAGGGGGAGGGGGAATAGCAAGCTTGAAGTCTCTAAAAGACATCTTAATAACAATCTACATATGGTATACCTAATAACGCTAGGCTCACGGCTAAAATCAAAATACATATAAACGCATGTTAATAATCTAACACCACAACTAAAATTGTATATAAAATAAACAAAGGTAAAGTAAACAATAGAAAATGGCAACTCCAAGGAATAGCTGAATCAATCCCCATGAACAAATCATTTATGAATTCGAAATATATCACAATATAATATATACAGGGTGTCCAAAACAGGACCAAGTAAAGTTGATTCACTAGGTCAATCTTGCATACTTGCATATTCTGCCTTGAAATTTCAGAATTATTTGGATCATTCGATGTTTATTTTGTTGTGAAAGTTTGATGATAATCTGCCTACTGAGTCAAAAACTACAATACCTTACAAACCATGCTCCAAGTGGGTACCTCTCCTCTCTATACACTTTCACAACAAAATTCACATGGAATAATCTAAATAATTCTAAAATTTCAAAAATACATGTATGCAGGTTGACTTTTTATAACCCTGTTTTGGACACCCTGTATTTATAATGTAACTATTAACAAAACCTTGATTTGCGAATAAAAAGGCATACCAATGACATCTCAGAACTTCCAACGGTAATAATCATTTTGGTTGATAATGAGAAATTTCTGCCATTTTCAAAGAGTACTTTATAATCAATGCAATTTCAAATTTAGATCGTTTATGAACTTATAATGAGTATCATTTTAATTTTTATTCTGAAAAAATTCCCAAATTCCCTTGCATGCTTAGACGCACAAACATTTACCAAGCTCAATATTGAACATCATTTTCTACAAGTAAGTTACTAATAGGTAAACATGAACATATTTTAATCATATTAGTTAAAAAACATTTATATTTTACAAACGCAATTTAAACTAAATAGTACAAAAATGTTATATTCTACTGTAGCTGTTAAATTACACAATTAAAATATTTAACACTAAAAATTAAAATACAAAATGCATCATTCGATAAATCATAACTAAACATAAATACATCTTCAGCAGAATAACACAAAATCACTAGCACTATTGCACCCAAATTTAAACGAAACCAAAGTCAGTATGTAAATACCTTTGCCTCCAATTCCTCCTTCGACTGCCAGATTTTCTCCCGGATCCTGGGCCCTTTCTTCGCTCACGATCTTTCAGACTCTGTTGATAGCGTTTCATTTTGACCCAGCTCCGTCCGGCACTGTCAAACATACACCAAGTGGAGACAAGGACGCTGAACATCACCACCCAATTGCATATTACAATGCCTGTAACAATGAAGTTTTTTTCATTTTTATTATTTGTTCGAAAACTTAGGACTTAAAATACATATCATTCAATTCAAATGAAACATGCTTATGCATACTTAGTTTAAAAAAAAAAGTTTAGTTTAAAATAGTTTATTTAAGTGTCACACGTATACAATTTACACTAAAAAACAATTAAAATATACATACACATGTAGAGGTAAAAGAATAATATGTACACGTCCAGCCGTTGCCGACTTATGAGACACTGAATAAAATTTACAATAAAAATAATTTACGTCGTTTAAACATACAATATACTAGCTTTGCTAGCATGTAAACATTGCAATCACACATAATTAAACAATATTTTGCTAAATTTGTTGAATTTTCAAAAGAAGGATGCAATGATGACATGTAAGTGAAAACATCATATCTTAAATCATTATACAATGGACAATCTATTAGAAAGTGTATTTCATTTTCAACTTCCTGCATATCACACATTAAACAAATTCTGTCATGAAGGTCTAATTTGGGATTATATCTTCCAGTTTCTACCCTCAGAGGTAATACACCACACCTAAGTTTTGCCAGAGCTTGTCTGTAAATCCTAGGTAAATACATCTCAACATATTCCTCGGTATGAAAACGAGATTTATGGAGTCTATAACTTCTAAGTTTATTACCATTTTCTTTGTTTTTATTGTCATTCCATAAGTTTATATGCCAATCAATTTGATGTTTATCGATAAGTTTCTTTTGAAAACTTTTAATCTTGGCCTTAGTACCATGGATTTGTGTACATTCTTTATCAGTGAAATCTGTTAAGCCATTTTGATCAAAAATCTTAATGACCTGGTATTCCCAGGATTTTCTTACATTTTTGGACCAAGTAAATATCTTTTTAGTAACACGGGAATTATTCATATTTGTAAGTCTACACCACTGACGAAAGGTTTCCTTAAGTTGAACGCTATAAAATGAAGGCCATCCAATATCGCCATTTACAGCATCATTTGGTGTGTACTTTCCAACACATAGGAAGAAACGGGCTGCCTTATTTTGAACATTATTTAGCAGTCCACGTGGTTTATCTCCCCAAATACCAGATCCATATGTCATAATTGGTAAAACAAGTGAATTATAAAGTTTTGTGAAAACATCAAAGGTAAAACCTCCCTTATGGTAAAATTTAGCAATAATGACTCCAAGAGCTCTGCTAGCAGAGGCTGCTAATGTTTCAATTGCCTTTTTAAAAGTAAGGTGCTCATCTAAATACAAACCTAGGTATTGGTATTCATTTACAGAGGATATTGTGTTCAATCCACAGAGAAAAACAAATTTTGATTGTACAATATTTTTGGGGCGAAAATGTAAAACCTGGGTTTTTTCAGTATTGATTTGAATTCGCCAATTATTGCACCATTCATTTAATTTATCTAACATTGTCTGAAGATCAAACTCATTTGCAGCAATTAAAGCGATGTCATCAGCATATAAGAGTAAACTAATATTTTCATTCAAACCATATTTTACACCAAGCCCTAAATTTTTAATCTCAGTGGCTAAAGAGTTAATATATATTGAAAAAAGACTCGGTGAAATTTTACACCCTTGTTTCACACCCTTTGAAACGGGAAACCAATTTGTTAAAGTACCATTTATTCTCACCGCACATTGCACATTTTCATAAAGTGAGACTATGGCATGATATATACGACCTTTAATGCCCATTCTATTCAGTTTTACAAACAGATATTGTCTGTTAATATTATCAAAGGCTTTAGAAAAATCTACGAAACAAACAAAAGTTGACAGTTTAGATAATTGTCTGTTATGAACAATAGAATATAATGAGTAAAGATGGTCCTGGCAGCTTCGTTCCTTGCGAAAGCCGTTTTGTTCATCAACAAGTTTACCATTTTTCTCAATCCAGTCAGTCAAGCGTGAGTTTATAATGTCGCAATAAACCTTACAAGGTATCGAGATCAAGGTTATTCCGCGGCTATTTAAAGGAACTCAACGATCTTTGTTACCAGATTTTGGAATTGGGTTAATTATCCCCATGTTCCATTGTTCTGGAACAATGGAGTGAGTGAATGAGTATGCGATAATCAAATGAAGTAATGTCATACACGCCCGGTTTTTTATAACCTCAGCAGGTATTCGATCAAAACCAGCGGCTTTTCTCAGTTTAGCATTTTTTATGCTTGACATGACCTCCTGTAAAGAAATATCTTTGTTTAAATCAGGGTTTACGTCCTTGGACTCATCAGTATTCATTGAGTTGTACTCAGTTTGAATAGAGTGAAAAAAACTCAGAGTTGTAATTGGGATTATCTTTTTGATTGTACAGTTTCTGAAACTCTACTTCCCATTGGTTCAAAATTGTGTTTTTATCGGTTGACATTTGACCATCACTGTCGATAACCTGCATAGGAATACTGTTTTGCCTATTTTCAGATATGCCTATTTTACCAATTTGTTTCCAGAAAGACTTTTGATCGTATTTATCATTACACATGTTCATTAATTCCATTTCTTCCTTACGTTGATAATTACGTTTATATTTTCTATTTAAACGATCAAAATACCTTCTATCTTGACAATAAGTGGCTTTCAAGGCACGTTTTTGATATACTCTACATACTACATGTATTTTAATTAAAATTTTTGTACTATTTAGTTTAATTTTTTTTACATGTACATTTTTAGTACATTTATGCAAATTATCCAAAGGTCTAGGTAAACAGCATGGTTAAATTGCTTCCTACATTAGGATGTTTGATGTGTTACACAAGCACAAAATCCTTTGTTCTTCAAGCTTTTTTCAAAATGCATTGTAGCAAAGCAATTTAACCTTGCTGTGTTACAGGTACCAATGTAATAAATTCAGGTACCTATGGACTAAATAGCTTTCCCTTTGGTACTTGTGCTTAGGTTACTCTCTGGGATAAATAATATAATCTGATTCATAAAAAAGTAGTGATATTTATTTGATATGGATAATATTACACCAAAAATAAGAATGCCACAGTATATAAAATCAACACCTCCCTGACAAACAAGTAAACAAACAAACAAACAAACAAACAAACAAAAGGCCTACCCAAGATTGCCTTCTTGGCTGCATCAGCAGTACACTGTTCATAATTCTGTGATATCCATACAACACCTATGATCACCCAGATCAACTCAGCCACCAAGATTCCTAAAACAGAGAAAAATATATAAGTAAAATAAGCAACAATTTGTTTGTTTTTTGGCATCATGAGATTCAAATAATATTACTTATAATAATAAAAAATAATTAATTCTAATTTTTGCAGTAAAATGGTACGGTTGCAACATTTAAAAAAAAGATGCCAGTCATGATCTACTGGGAACACCTTTATAACAGTATGTGTAGGTGGAACTGCTATTTATTTGGGAAAAATGTCAGATATCCAACTCAACAAAATACTTCTAGCTATGATTTATTACAGCGGTATTAGTACATTGATTTTTCTGCAATGATCAAAGTGAAAATTCTAATCTGGTATACTTTGCCAAGTGCAGTTATGTCATGTTTTAGTCTTCCAAAGGCCATTTTCTCCATTTTGGAGCATTGACTATAATATCTAGTCGATATACAATTAAAAAACAACAGCTTGGAACTGAACTGCCTTATGTTTAAGCTTAAATCTGAGCAGTTTTGAGACTTGTATGTAGGACTAACAACTATCATAATTCTTTACAATTAGTCTTGCTTGAAGCCTTTGGAACCTCTTTGCATATCTCATCTCCAAAAAGACTTGAAGCAGAAGAGAGGGGGGGTCAAAGAGAATTGAAGCAAGACTTAGTCTTACAGTTCTTGGGAGTAAATTGCCATCTGATTTCAATTTGAGTACCATGTTACTATACCTAAACACCATACAAAATATTCTGAGGGATGAGGTTCACATTTGACAATTTTGGCCCAAAACCACCCAAACACCACCTCCCTGGCTATGGACCAGCCAAAAAGTTGGTATATATTAATTGTGGGGTTTGTGAATTCAGGACAGGTAAGAACATCACCTTAACACTTGCTGATAGATACATAAATAGAACAGCTAGCTGCAAACCTAATACTTCCTTGTATATCAGACATGATCAGATGATTGCTTGTAATTTGTTTGAACATTATCTTATCAGAAGTCAAAGCTAATTGGAGAAGACTAAACACTATATTTGAGAACATGATTGTTTCATAAATTGATATGATGTCAGTCACTGTCTTAAGGTAGTTCTGTATGACAAGAGATTTTATAAAATTTTCATATTATAATACCATTATGAGATGAAAAGGGTAATACAGTATTTATGTTTTCTCATTTTTTAAGTGGAATTTTACACAATATGGTAAAATGGACAGTGAAAAATCAAAAGAATTTGAGTGAAATGCTGAAACAGATTACACAAATTTTTGATTATCAATTATTTTGTCCAAGTGTAGAACTACCTTAAGAGCAGCTTTTCAGACATGAACAATAGATATATAGCCATGATTGCTCAATTATCATATTATTTACTAAAAAACAGAAATGTTAGTTCATTAGCATTAGTTTCTTTTTTATATGCCAGTTGTTTCCACAGATGTTCATCATCCCCAGGGATGGAAATGGAAATGGAAATTGACAAGGGGAAGATCCAAATTCTTTTTTTTGAGAATTCCTTCCCCCTTACTAAGATTGGCTAATTTTCTCAATAACAAAAAGATCCAAAATGAAAAAAATTGTTGACCTATCTAAAAATAGAACATAAAAAATGTTCACCTCTACTGTAACCTGAGACTTTAATTGCATAGGTTTAGAGATACCCTGTTTTTATTTTAGCATTTGAGTTACTGTAAGGGAGGGATGATGTTCAAATGTCAACAGTTCAAGAAAAATAAAGTTTGAGTCCATCAGCATCCTTGTATAAACCCTCCTTATAAGAACTTTTGAAAATACTGATTTGCGATTTACATCCAAGTTCCAAAAATCAACAAATATTTACACTAAAATTATCCACATTTAACCCCTCCCCTTGGTGTTATCAACTTCACTCTTCCTCAACTGTAGATATCATCGAAACCACCATCCCTATATATATCTTTTAAACATCATGTTAGTTTCAATTTACATCAAAACTGCAAAGAACCTGTCTGCAATAGCAACCAAACCTGTCTGCAATAGGATCCAACTGATCTTCCCTCTCTGGTAATGAGATGATTGATGGAAAGTTGTTACCCTTGTTTAAAAGTCAACATTGGCCATTGTAATTCAAGTTTTTCATCTCTAAATCAATTTAATCAATGACATTGTGGTTCCTATAAAGTCATTAAGTTTCAGGTTCAACCAATCTTTTTCAATTCTTACTATTTCCTTTCTATTTCAATATATTTAACTTTCAAATTAATATTGTGTTAAGATTCTATTCATTGGGCCGGGAACATGCACTTGATCATGAATTGTTTTGTTTTAAAATGTCTGTCAACATCAGAGCACAATGAAGACCCCATCCTACTGTGAGTTTACTAATGGTATCATTAGCTCAACAAGGACCTTGCATTTGTTATGATACCCCTAGAAATCTTACATGCAAGTAGGGAGTGGGTGTAAGGTATCTGGGTAAATGGGGGTACCAAGCATGAGATAAAAAATGGAGGAGAAAAAAGGTGGAGAAATAAGCTTCAAGAACAACCTATAATGATGGAAACTGTTTTTTGTTGTTGTTTTTGATGTAGATAAACACCCTTGGTACCCTTTGCATTTGTTCAACTTTGTTTCTTAAGACTACTCTGCAAACAGGGTACCCCCTCCTGGGTATCCCCCCCCCCTGAATATATTCATCAAGAATTATTAAAGGATTAAAAAGGATAAATGTACAGATACATATAAAATGAGGAAGTTGCCATTTAATAATTTAAGGTAGGCCTTGTTGAATCACTATTTGATATATTTGTTATTTGACAATTTAAGGTAGACCTTGTTTAATCACTTTTTGGTAAATGTGTTGTCATTTGACAATTAAGGTAGGCATTGTTGAACCACTTTTTGATATATTTGAGCATGATGACAGAATGCAATCCTAAATGCTTCAATATTAGCCTGTTACTTTCTGAAATATATACTTAGAAGGCCAGGTCCAATATGGTATTAATTGAATGGGAAACTTCCTGAAACACTTGTAGAGGAAACATAAAACAGAGCAACAATGCTACATGTGTGTTTCATCTTTATTGTGAATACAGTTACAAGGTCATTCTGCTTGCTTGTTGTTTGACATTACAATGCAATGATTGATAAATTGCCATTTTAAAAAGTTCAAAGAAATTCTCAAATAACAACATACTACATGTTTATGGAACTGTAGAATGTGCAATTCTTAATGTTTCTGTCTTGAAACTTATTAAATTAATACATACATGTACTTAAAGGTATTCCAATACATTTTAACCAAGTTTTGTAAAAACTGTCAAAAAAGAGTTTAAGGTACCTTGCACCTACAACCTATTCATGAAATATTGCTGATCTTTATAATACAGGACGAGCCCAAAAATGTAACCAAAACAAATGCAGCTCAGTCATCCAGCATGGGTTTAAGATCATACTTGGCACAATTGAACCTTGTTCAATGTTCTCACCCTGTATTAGCCTTATAATAGCACAGCCCTTGATTATAGACATGCATCACAGATACAGTAAAATATGTCTAGTCCAAACCACACTAACACTGTTCCACAACTGGATGACTCTAACTGCAGTTAGCTTCATTCAAGATGGTTGCCGAGATTCTTTCGTTTTCGATAAACCTCCGATTTCAGCTAAACTAAGTTGAATCTTGATTCCAAAAGTTTCGCCATGCAAATTTATAAAACTATGATTGTATTCAACCACAAATGAATGCTCTAACACCCATAATATTAGAGAATTTTAAAGAAAACGACTTCACTTAGAATGACTCTAACTGAAGTTGATGATCTACGCCATCATGACGTCATCATCAACTTCAGTTAGAGTCATTCTAAGTGAAGCCGTTTTCTTTAAAATTCTCCAATATCGCGGTTGTTTGAGCATTTATTTGTGGTTATTTACCATCGTAGCTTTATTAATTTGCATGGCGAAACATTTGGAATCCAGATTCAACTTATTTTAGCTGAAATCTGAGGTTTATCGAAAACGAAATGATCTCGGCAACCATCTTGAATGAAGCTAACTGCAGTTAGAGTCATCCAGTTGTGGAACAGTGACTAAGGGACAAGCCAAAAATGTTCAAAATAGCAAGAGCACACATTTCAAGGATGGGAATATGAGATTTCAAAATTTGGACTGGGATAAAGCATTCATAGTGTGTGGATTAGAGAGATGTTCAGATGTAAAGGTTTTACTGCATATGGAAATTCTAACTCAACCATTTACTCACCCAGTCTCACATATAGTAGATATTGCATACTGGACCGTGGTTCTGTATAGAGAATAGTCCCTCTCATGCTGACCCATGCAATACAACCCTCTACCAAGACTGACCCTGATAAAATAACTAGGTAACCGAGGACATGTTCCCGTAGAGAGATCCAACATTCTGTCAAGTCTGCGTCAACGACACCCAGGATAATCCCCAACACTAAGATCCTGAAAATAGAAATTAAAATAATTTTGAGACAATTATAAATATCTTTTGTTGACTAAAAATCTATCGTAAATCGGTTATTAGGATTCAATAGCTATACAAGAGCAAACAACAGTCTGATGCCCAAAGCAGCTATGGAAGTATGTTGTATCCATATCATACGACCAACATGCAGCTGAAGATTCTTGTCAGGCCCAAAGGGGATTGCCAGGGTGGTTCCAGAATACAGCAAGATGACACCCATAAGAGAAAAGAAAGAGTGTTTGAAATACAAATTTGAGTAAATGCCACTGTCACTTTTTATTCTTGGAAATTAGCTTAGAAAATAATTGAACGAATCAATGATTGTGACATGTAATAAATGCTTGTGTTTTCTTCAAATCTTAAGACCCTTTTGCATGGCCATAGCTAGGGGGAGCTACAGTTTTCACACATCCCAGGTTGAGTTTTGCCTCATCACTTGTCAGACAATAATGTTTGCCTCACTGATGATTTTTTGCCTCATTGACAAAAAATGCCTCATGGATGGTAAAAATGGCATCACTACACCCTCTTCTGTAAAATTCTAATTTTTTTCCTCATTCACAGAAGAAATTATCTCATTCGTAGAAAAATATTGCCTGACTGCACCCCACCCCTTAAAAATCCTAACTGTGACAGTGTTGTGCCCAGCAAACCATAAAGGTGAAGGAAATAAGGACTGAGCGAGGTGATCCAGAGACTTGATCCAGGTCATCTACCAGGACCTTAACTTACATGCAAACCCCTGAAAAGGAATGCCAAAGAATTCAGCATTTTCTCTCTCAGTTATGTCGGCACAAATCTAAATCTGTCAGATGTCACATTCATACTAGTAAAGTAACAGTAACTGTTAGATTTTCAGCTGCTAGCATCTCTGGTTTGGTTATGTTTAGCTACTGAACACATGTACCTTTATTTATGATGACTCATTCATATCAAGGAAACAGGTACAATATTAGGACAGTATATGAACAACAATAAGCCGCAATAAATAAACCACAATTATTGATAACTCTTTGAGGTAACTTCCTTCAGTTATAAATACGGATATTGAGTGTAATGATTAAATGTTGTATCTCTGTTGTTTTGTTTTTCAAATGTTGCCATTGGTTCCGTTTTTATATCTCTAGAATGGAATTGAGGTTCTTATGGATGGATGAAATTAACATTAAACATTGATTTAATTTTAATTAAGTTCCAATGGTGTAACTTAAATTTCAGTAAAAATATATGAAAAATGATTGATTTTTAACATTTATAGCCTTACTTCAACTCCATATATTATACATACATTTAGGAGAAGGGAGGGGGTGGGGTCAAGCGGCTGGCTAGATGCGAGACTATATTTTCAACTTTTAACCAGTTCAATTCTGCCATTATTTACCCAAAAATAATTTGTAATATTTTTTATTAATAAATGCAACTGGGGGCATTTCTGTTACATTCTTAGCTATAAAAAATTACAGACTTATCCCAGGTAGAAGTATTCAGAAACAAAATAACCTATTATGTTATAACATACATGTTCTTATTTCCGCTTAATCATTTATGTCAAATAATACATGTACAAGTATAAAATCTTGGTTACAATTTTATATCAAAATTATATGAGCAATTTGTACAAGTTTCTCATTTGAATTCTATTTACATATGAAATGTTCAAAGTATATTATAAGTGCATGTATTCAAAAATATAGCACAGAGAAAGAAAATGAAACTGAATGTTTTTTTTACAAATGAAATATACATTATAATGGCTCAAAATGGAAAATAACATTTATTTTGGAAATATGCTGAGATGTAAGCCTCCATATTAAGGAAGTCTCCATGGCAATGATTATTGAGCATGACTTACAGTATACAGTAGCCATAAAAAGTAGAAAAAATTGAGCCTCTTTAAGTTTTTCTACTGATATTGGCCTTTGTGCTTTATGATAAAATTATGACAAGTTTACATTTACAGTATTTGGGGAATGGTGTCCAATTGTCAACAGTTGAGACAACGGTTGTGACAACAGTTGAAGTTAATCTTATTAGGGGAAATGGGTATGATGAACATTTTGGTAATTACAATTTGATTTTCAAAGTTTGTTATATGAGGAATGGGAAAAATTTGTTAGGCTCTAACAAAATTAACTTCAATTTTTACACAGCTGTTAACATTTGGAAACAATCCAACAAATCATCTCAACAATTTTTGTTAATATCAGCCTCTGGATCAGGATTAAGTTTTTCCTGTTCTGGTATGATTTCTCCTTGGTATTCTGGATATCGCGTTCTCTTAAAAAAGCCACATTTCCAGAAAATAACTACAAGAATAACAAGAAGTAAGATCCCAACATGTGCAGCAACGATTATGATCCATAACTCTACAGATTTTGATGCAGGTTGAAAGCCACTGGGGCTTACATACGTTGAGACTGAGTCAGCGTCATGTGAATACACAAGAGGTTTTATTTTATATGGCATTTCTACCACCAAAGCTTCGGCTTTTGATATAATAGTCATACTCTGCAGCCGGTCTTTAGTGAATGATGCCAACCAGAGATGGCTATGGATTTGAATTAAAGCGGTGGTATCTTGTTTCATGTCCTGTATATCACATACAATCCTTGTACACCATGTCGATTCACAACTCAAACGATAACGTGACTGTTCCTCTAATTTTGAGGCATCTACCTCTACTGACCTACGAAATTTGGATTTGACACTATCTACTTTATTCACCGGGATATCCTCAGGGTTAACCGTATCAACAGTACATGTCCCACGACCAACAATAACTTTGGGTAGCTCGGTGAGATATAACAAATGGCCTCCATCTTCAAACTGACTAGGCCATAAAATCTCAACATTGGTTGTGCTTATAGCACTCGGACCAGAATTATGAACTTCGAATAAATGTGTCACTTTTGGGCCAATTTGTTTCTGAACAGAAGGGTGTGTGTACTTAATCTGCGTCGCATTGTAGACAACTTGCTCAGGTTTAGAAACTCCAATTATTTCAATGTTAGCAACGACATCTACAGGGATATCAACAAGGACACGTATATCACTTGATTCTTCAGCTTGTGAACTATTAGCAATTACTTCAAACGTCAGGTGCTCTATGATGCTAACATTAACGACAACAACACTCAATATCAGCTCTGCTTTGTGGTTACGTGGCAATGGATTCCCAATATCGCAAGAAACAATGTCCATATCTTCCATTTCTACTGGTGTACAACTGATGGGTGTGTCTGCAGTTACGTCATATATACGTCTGTATTTGGTACCCGGTGGCAGTTCTATGGTCAACAGAGCGAGGAAAGCATTCTCGCCTATATTTTCAACAGCCACATGTAACTCAATTGGTTCATTTTGTCCCAGAATATGCTCTACAGTTAAACCGTGTGCAGAGACAACAAGTTCCGGACTACAAATATTATCCTCACCACAATTTTTTAGAATTTCAGCTGATCCTCTCGCAGTGTTTTCAATTGTATTATCCAGGATTGGAATTAGAGAGGATCCTGGTGAATTTGCAACAGGAGTATATAATATAGATTCACCCAGGCTGTAATTCACATCCACAGATATAGGTGTCACTTTATCCCGTATGTTATTTTTTATGAATGTTTCTGTTGTCCTACACCACGCTACATTGTCATTGAGAGGAACAGCTACATTCATTTTTGTTTGTCTTTCATCACCAGAATAGAACATAAGTCGAGAAACATTTGTTTCGGGGTCAAGATTCCAATTCAAATCCAGTTTAAGTGATGTTGGTGCCCCAAGTCCAGTATACGCGACACATGTAGTGACTGATATACACGTCACCCATTCTCCAGTTGACAATTGACAAGTTTTATTTTCTAAGTCTACTACATCAGGTTCAAGTGTCACATTACTTTGGATATTAATAACTGGACGTGTTTTTAATAAGACGGCACTGTCATTAGCATATGCACCTACTAAGACATCTGGGTATAAATTACCATCCATATCTAGCCCTCCAGCTAAAGACCAACCAAAAGCTTTAATTCCGGGGTCTATATAAGATGCATAGATAACCTGGGAGTGTTCTTCCTTTAGCCCATTAATAGACCCAAGGTGTATGTAAACAGCCCCCTGTCTGTCACCACCGTCATATGGAGCCCCTATTGCCAAGTCATTAAACTTATCATTGTTAATGTCACTTAATGCTGCAAGTGAGAAGCCAAATCTCGAGCCACTTGTGAATCCAATTAATGTACTGTGTGAAGGGAATTTGTGATTATCATCCTGGTAATAAACATAGACACGTCCTGTTTCTTCTAATTTTCCAAAGTCCTCGGTATACAGTGGGGCACCAACTGCGATATCGTCATAGCCATCATCGTTGAAATCACTAACTGCGAGAGAAGCTCCGAAATATGACCCAATCTGATCACCAGTGATTTTTGCGAGTAGTTTTAACTGCTGGTTATATACTGCAAACTGTCCTTTTAGACCTCCACCCCTAGGAATACCAGTGACATAATCTGTTGTACCACCCCCTGTGAATTCGCCAAAAGCCATGGAGTAACCCATATACGAGTTATAATCAGTCCCATTGCATTCGTTAATGTTAGCATTTTCCTCAGTACATTCGTCAGTTTCAGAGTAGTCAGACTCCCAGTAGAGATCCTGGGTGATCACTTGGCCCTGCCATGAGTAACTTCCGACTGCGCCCATGACGAGTCGCGCTAATGAATAACCAGGTGTTATGACGGCAGATATTCCTGCCTGGCAGTGACCTCGAGTTCCCCATTTACCACGGCAAGGGGAAAACTTTTTAAAATCTCTCATGTTACTCGATGTTGTATAACATATTCCAACTGGATAATCAGACTCGTTGTCATAGCGTCGATAATTTGGGGCACACGCAACTATTTTGCCATTTACTCCAGAGCTATAAACAGTTGCACCCATAAATTGGTTTGATTTTTCTTCACTATATTTGGGATAGTCCGTTAATTGTTCATTTCCAGTTTTATCAAAAGATATCTCTTCACAATAATTCTCCCGATCGGGGCTACACCTGAATACACTTCCGCCATTACTTATTCGATCTTGGTCAGTTCGATAACGAGGGGCCCCTATGAGAAGCCAAGCGTCATTTCCATTTTTATGTAGTGATACGGCATATCCAAAGTAACTACTCATTCGTGTCTCATAAACCATAGGCTGCTTTAAGTCAATGTTAAATCCAGTAGTCACTTGGTAAAAGTCACTGGCTAAAAAACAAAATATCCAGCAGAGTGTCAGAACTTGGAAGAGTGAAGCATCCATTTTGCGTTTGTGTGTCCAACAAATGCTAATAATATAAACCAAAGTTATATTGTTCTTGTGTTTTAACATCCATCAAGATGCTTCTAATATGTTTTACTTTAGTTTAATTCCTATCTCCTGTTGCTACTGTCGATCAAGTCTCAAATAACTGAAGGATGGTAAAGATTCCAAGGATCGAATTTCCACATTCTGTGGCCTGAAATCCCTTTGTTTACTTAAAGGAGGATATCATGTATTTTAATGAGTCACACAGTGTACCATCTAACCAAACTGAATCCCTTCCTCCTCATGTGTATATTTTAATCTCCATGTTGTTATGTTTACCCTTTCTGCTGGTTTACCAGGTATACTATGTCATATTACATGCTGTGCACCTGTACATACCTCAATGTTGCTATTATAAACAAGTTTATGCTACTGTATAATAAAAATACTAGGCTTTTAAAAAATAAAACTTATAAATAGAAGTTGGCAGATATTCATTAAATGGTTTATAAAGCCTATTCAGAATTAGTCTTCTTTTTAAGTAAATGATAAGATTTAGTTTTATATAGAGGGGCCTATAGACTCCTTGCTTATAAGTGAACCTTAAAATCAACCTTAAGGTCTTTTAATAGTTTTCAATTACCCTTTAATTATAAAAACGTGACATTTCTATGGTATTTGTCATCTATGATTACCATGTTTGTAATTGTGAAAATGTTTCAAAATAATGAATGTGTTTATTATTCAAATGCAAGTACAGCACTGCATACATATATTCATTCAATTATCAATATAAATAAACTGTTTCAATGAAAGAGAGAGCAATATCTGAACCAAGCCCAAACCCCTATAAGCCATGAACAAAAAATAGTTCATTTCTACATTTAATCTTGATAACAAAACAGTACACATACGAGTTCTTACACTTAAAACCCTGCACCCCCCCTATCTGTCTTACTGAGAAAGAGAAGAAGCAGAGCAGAGTGGGGGGGGGGGGGGGTGCACAGGATTTATAAACTTTGCACTTTATAATACAGGGTACATATTTTTGAACTTTGATGGGAAACTGTGAATATCCCTTATATTGTAGAGCAGCGCTATTTCTTTGAAACTAGGAAGTAATAGTATTGATATAAACTCCTAATAACTTAAGGATGTAGTGTTTTGAGTGTTTGGGGTATTTATCATAAAGGATGACTTCCCACAGGCCACATCAGACATATAATCCTTCCTGGCAATTTTAATCATGCAAACCAAAATAAATACAATTTTGTTTTGACTCTATTATCAATTTATGTGGTACAATTTCTAAAAGTTGTTTACTTCTAGTATCTAAATAAAACTTGTTCTATACAAAAAATGACAAAAATAAATATCTATAAAAGTGAAGGTTTCAAATAAAGTGCACCGTAACTAAAGACCGATCTACTTCAAACAAACTAATGAATAAAAATGAAAAAGTAGACGACGAGTCAAAATCGTTATCCATTATTACAATTTGTGCCTTGCAATTTCCAGGTCACCTGGTACAATGTCTGTAATAATGTTGATTGATCGGATTCTCTCTCAAATTGAATTGATTTCTGATCAAGAAAAATATCAGTACTTCTGGATGTGAAGCACTGATAAATATCACATAGCCGCAACAAGTCAGAACCATCCAGTGCTAACAAAAATACTCATGTAAACCCAGAAATTTGATATGTTCTAAGGATTATTTGTTATGACATCTGTACTGTAAACATTATTTATAGTGAAGGGCAGGTTATAATGTAAAGTCTGTTGTGGAATAAGTCATCTCTACCAAGAGACATACTGCTCCCTCTCTTATGTCAATCCATCGGAATGCCCTTTCTTGAATGTTTGATATGAGAGGGAGGGGGTTACAGGAAAGGAGGGGGGTAAACGAAAGCATATGGAGTGGATATTTCAACCCCCCCCCCCCGCCGTCACCTCATATATTTTCATTTTATTTATTTATTTATTGATATAACTTAGTAATATTCAAACATCTCTAATTTATGATAAGTTTTCATTGTCAAGACCGGGAAGCATACAAGAATGCAACTTCATATTTTAACCTAGTATCTTCATTTTGTGTATTACAGAGGCTTATGACTAAGTCCTTTGCTATAGGCAGAGATTATGGCCTGGGAATTGTAATTTACAAGACTCTCTTTTATCACATCATTGGTAAATACATAGCAGTAGCTAGGATTCTGAAGAAGGTATTGAGTTTTTGAAGGATTTCAAAATGGTTCAAATTTTGCCAAAGTTAAACAAATTTCTAATAAAATCATTTTCTAATCAGGATTGAGGTCTGCTTGACATCCAGAAACTCCCTCTATCTCGGTCTTTGGAAAAGTAAAAGAAAGAATACAAAGGGTGACTGACACTTTGGTTGTTTAACACTAAATAAATCAGAGTCCATAACCCCCCCCCCCCCCCTAAACCCTAGTAATCTCAGACACTGCACAACCTTTCTTAAAATGATGATTAAATATTTGTAGACTAGTCAAGTCAACCTAATTTCTATTGGTTCTATGTCCATACTTTACAGAAAGTACTTTACTGTTGAAATGTATTTTTCTGATGCTATCAAGTCTATATTGAGATTCTTTTCACACAACACAAAAAATGAATTCATATTTTGGCTTGACGACAACTAAAAAAAAAAATAAAAGGAAAAATTAACCTGTCAACATAACTTGGAATTAATATGGTATTGTAATTGCACAAAGACTACCTGGCAGGTGACATTGAAACAATACCATAGAAAGGTACTTAGAATTGATTTTTAGGACTAATTTATCCCTGGACGCCAGATTGTATGGCTGGATACATATATTAAGCACCAAGTCATAAAATCTATTTTATACCTAGCTTTTAAAGTATGTAATTTCTTACTTATTTCTGAGTGCATTCTAGTTAAAGTTGTAAACTAATATAAGCGAAGTTCTCTTTTAATAAGCAAAGTCAAATGAATGCATAAATGGTAAACTCCAACTAGAATATTTAGATGTGCTGATTTTTATCTCCAATGTACCATTTAACTATCTTAAATGAATAATTATGTTACTGTATGCATGAATAACTTTATTTAGCCTGATCTCTATATGTAATACTAATAGACTAGAATCAATACCAAATTCTGAATTCCAATACATGAACCTGTCTCCAGGACAAAGTCAATATTTTGGGTATACAGTGGTGGAGCCTGGATCAAAATTTTGGTAAGGAAAATGTAAAAGGGTTTACCCTGAGTGCAGATGTTAGCTAAATGTAACAAAGACAAAGCTAGATTTAAGAAGCGAAGTCAAATGAAAAGGAAAGGGTAAAATAGTTGAGGCTTTAGGCTAAAGGAGGTATATTACAAGTTAAGATTTCGATTCCAATTTCTGTCATTGAAAAAATGTCTAAATAAATACATTTCTGTTAAATCTTAATGAGGCAAATGCCTTGCCTGTGTCATGCCTGAATACACCTATAACAAACAGATGCAAATCAATTTTGAAAGAGGGTTGGGATTAAATCTTATTTTAGTGTAATCACTGATAAAAGATCAGTGATCGGAGTGACATCTTTACTGTCAGACTACACTATGATGGCCATCTTGCATTCTGATTTACCAGTCTCCCCACTTTATCCAGCATGGGGGATCACAGCCTTCAACAAGTTCCTTTCTATAATAGTATTGATAATCCTGATACTTGTCACATCTTTTTGTTTTCAAACAAACAATATGAAAAGTATTGAAAGCTGCAATCTCTCACAATGCTGTGGTGAATATAATGGGATCTTGGTTTTTTAAGAAATCTTGTTTTGATGATTCTGGGACACCTCTACAAATCAAGATGTTCAGACTCCCCCAGAAGTATCCCTATTCTGACTAAATTTGCACCATTATTTGCATAATCATTGCACCATGATTTGCACCATCACTGTACAATCATTAGCACCATCACTTGTACAATCATTAGCACCATTATTTGTACAATCATAGCACCATCACTGTACAATCATCTGCACCATTATTTGCACAAATCGCACACATCAATTGCAAAATCACTACATGACTATAACACAACCATTGCATGATCATTTTCACAATCATTACACAATCAATTGCAAAATCACTACATGACTATAACACAACCATCGCATGATCATTTGCACAATCATTACACAATCAATTGCAAAATCACTACATGACTATAACACAACCATTGCATGATTATATGCACAATCAAACAATCAATTGCAAAATCACTACACGACTATAACACAACCATTGCATGATTATATGCACAATCAAACAATCAATTGCAAAATCACTACATGACTGTAACACAACCATTGCATGATTATATGCACAATCAAACAATCAATTGCAAAATCACTACATGACTATAACACAACCATTGCATGATTATATGCACAATCAAACAATCAATTGCAAAATCACTACATGACTATAACACAACCATTGCATGATTATATGCACAATCAAACAATCAATTGCAAAATCACTACATGACTATAACACAACCATTGCATGATTATATGCACAATCAAACAATCAATTGCAAAATCACTACATGACTATAACACAACCATTGCATGATTATATGCACAATCAAACAATCAATTGCAAAATCACTACATGACTATAACACAACCATTGCATGATTATATGCACAATCAAACAATCAATTGCAAAATCACTACACGACTATAACACAACAATTGCATGATTATATGCACAATCAAACAATCAATTGCAAAATCACTACATGACTATAACACAACAATTGCATGATTATATGCACAATCAAACAATCAATTGCAAAATCACTACATGACTATAACACAACCATTGCATTATCATTTTCACAATCATTAAACAATCAATTGCAAAATCACTACATGACTATAACACAACCATTGCATGATTATATGCACAATCAAACAATCAATTGCAAAATCACTACATGACTATAACACAACCATTGCATGATTATATGCACAATCAAACAATCAAGAATGTGTATGACCTTTAGGAAAAACTTGAAATGCACAAATTAGATCAAAGATTCAAAGTGTTAAACAATCAGTCGATCTGGGAGCCCTAGAGGAAATAAATGAGTCAGTCAGTGTGCGAATTGCTCATTTAGAAGACCCTGATGGGATAAAATACATTAGTGATGCTTTATGACAATTGGTAAGGTGGCTTAACATGTGATTGAGCAAATGTATGTGTATATTAATGCCTAAAGCCAGCTCAAGCCAGCTTCAAATCTAGCATGCTATGACTTTAATTAGAGGAGAAGCACGCCCAGGGGATGTCCATAAGTAAGAAATGCAATAAAGTAATGTCATGGTT